TCTTATTTTGAAACAGGGCACTCTTCTGCCGACTTCCCTTACTCCTCGTACATTATTTCAAAATAACTGCCTGGTGTGTAGACACGGACTAAGTTACTTCGAAATAACGCTAGTTATTTCAAAATAATGTTGCTGTGTAGATGTACCCTAAAAGTTTAACACAGAGAAAGCTCATTAGGTCCACCCACTTTATCATTATGCACAATGATTGCTCCGCTCCAAGTAACAATTATTTACAATGGGCTTGATAATAAACAAAAGTGTTTTCATTAAGTATAAAAAGTAGGATGTATGTGGTTGCAAGTGAAAATAGTCAGATCAAAATAAGTTGAAAAGGTAAAATAAACAAAAAAAAAATCAGCTAATTCTAATCTATTAAGCATTTCCGGAAAAGGGTGCCAGTGTAGACGTAGCCGTCATGTGCAAATTCTTACCCTACACAGTTATTCTGGCCTGAGTCTACAGCTTTTTTCAGAGTTCTTTCGAGTTTTTTGTTGCCAAGTTTCTTCACCTGTATCCTCTTACGGTGGGTGAGGCAGTTTCAAAGGCCAGCTGAAGACAAAGTCCTGATTACTTTCCATCCCTTAAATAGACTTTCCCCAAGAGTGGGAACCCTTTGTTTAGACCAGTGTTTCTCAACCAGTGGTACGAGTACCCTTAGGGGTACTTGAGAGAAGTCTGGGGGGGGGTACGTCAACAGTACTGAAATGTGGAGAAAACTAAATTTTTGTTTTAAGTTTTGTAGCACTTTATTATTTTTACACTTTTTACACCCAAAAATGTCATTGCCCACCCGGCTATGATTAAGTTGTTTAAACAAATGTGTAGCAATGGTAGAAAAAAATTGTGTGTCTGAAAACTAGGTACTAGGGGTATTTATACTTTTTTTTGAAAAAGGGGTACTTTATAAAAAAAAGGTTGAGAAACAGTAGTTTAGACTACCCATCCCCATGGAAAAGTGTTAGATTCAAGATGGACTCCAGTACCAGGCAGCATGGTCACATGACTTTCTAGGAACCACCACTGTTCAGGCTTACAGAAAAAATCAACAGGTCGTTGGCTTGAGTACTGAGTCATTAAGTTCCTAAAGTATCACTCATAGCCCTCATTAGCACATTTAAAGCCAGAGTCACACTTCATATGTCTAACTGCACATACAAGAATGATACATACACAAAAATAGATTACACAGATTCAGCAGATTGTAACTTTAAAATTGATATGTTCCATGATGCATTTTGCATAATACAGCTTCAAGTTATACATATTCATAAAGCACAAGAGGGGCAGTGACAACATGAAAAAAGGCATTTTCCCCAGCCAAAACTATTCACCAAATTCAACCCAAATTCAGGAATAGTTTTGGTCCGTGTGAAACAGCATTTTAAAAAATCAAATCAACTATTTGTCTGAAAAATGTTACCTAGTTCTAACCCTCACTCTATGTGTGAGCTTGGATTATCAGTTTTTGGGCTATCAAACTTGCTGAATCCATCAAAGCAGCAAGGTACCTACTCAAATGACTCTGGTTTGCAGAGTCCATCTGCCAAGCTGAGGTCCCACAGGGCTGTATTTTCATAAGACTTCCACTAGCATCCTGCATTACAGCCAACATAATGGAACCTTAAATATACTCTAAGTCAGCAAGGCTAATCCACTGAACATCCATTAAGTTGAGCTCCATTGGTATTCAGTGACCTAGGTTCTGTCAACTCTTGCACCAGTGTCTCCTTGTAACTTTAGCCAGGTCTACACTAGACCTAAAAGGTTGGGTTAAGGTTCACAACTTCAGCTACGTAACATACGTAACTGGCTTACCTTAAACCGAACTTGGTGCTGTCTACTTAGAGGGAGGCTGACAGAAGCAAACACTCCTGTCGGCGTCCCTTACTCCTCATGACTGCTAAGAGTACCAGCTCCGACCGAGGCCACCCTTGGTGTTCGATTTAGCGGGTCTTACCTAGACCCACTAAATCAAACGCCAGAAGATTGATCTCCGGTGTGGCGAGCAAAGACGTGGCCTCTCTCTCATTTCAAGCCGGACAGACACTATCCTGTCTAATTTCACAGAACCCTCCTTGGAAACAAAAGCAGAGATAAAGCCCCAGTTTGGTCTAACCCTGCTCAGTTTTCATTATTGTCATGAGCCTACCAGAGCCAGCAGAGAACCCCTCTGAACAGTCAAGGGATGGCAACTAGCACTTACAAATCCCAGTGCGGGGCGTTAGATGAATGCTGACATCATAACATTGCGGTCTCCAGCCAACAGCCAGGAGGCCTACTCAGCAATACTCCAGTTTTGCACTGAAATCTATGGAGCTACTCTAGAATAAGACAGGATCCGAGTACCAGAGAAACCAGATAATCAGCATCACCAAAGCAACATGGAACTTCACTCTTCCTCTTCCACTACAGATAGTCAATGTCCCAGGTGGGTTTTTGGTGAAAAGATTTTTCAGGGGTCTATTCCACTCCC